ACATTAGAGATCACCTGTGAAGACAGTCCGATAGAGATGAAGATTTGTGTGATAGGGGATACCTTCCACACCCTGGAATTGGCCAAGCCATATAATGTTGATAATTGCTATATCATAACATAGCATTGTCAATTTAATATTATTTACTTAATACCAAGAATACTCAAGGTTCAAGTTAAATCTGTTGATTAGGCCGGAGCCTAAGAACGAGTAGTCCAACACATAGGTCGAGAGCTACTAAAAGTAATGAGTGCTATTGAATGAACTATAAGTCCAGTTAATTATATATAATATTATTGTTGATTAACCACATTGTGAATTAACCAATTATTTATTCAGAGAGATATATCTAAAGGAACTATAAGTCCTTTAAAAGACACTGATTAATCACAAGTTAACAACGTCTCGTGAAATAACCAGTTGGGTTTTCTATAAGTTTGAGGACACTAAGTCCAACAAGCTATTATTGTGTTGAGAGTAATAGAGATCTTTTGTAATATTTGTAGAGGTTTGATTAATCACATTGTGAAATAATCGGATTAAATAATTATGTAGCTTTATAGAGAGGACTAGAAGTCCTAATTGGTTGTTGTCATAAGTACTGATAAATTACACATTAAAGTGCCAGGTCAATTATTATATATAGGTATATAGGAAGGACAATAAGTCCTATTTGTGTATGTTGTAGTAGTAGAGGCAATATATTGCATAATTATAATGTGAAAGATATAGATTAAATATATATTTGTATAGAAAGGACAGTAAGTCCCATACAATTATTGTAGCTGTACTATAGTTATACTATATCTACTTCCTTTTAGTGTCTTAGTAAACCTATTTACTAAGAGGATTTCTCAGATAAACAAATGTTTTAGTGTTTAAATCATCATGATTAAATCCCTAAGAAATTAGGTCTTTAAATAATTATCATATCATTTAAGTAAAATTTCTCATATAAATAATTCCAATATTTCCCCTACAGTTATTATAAAATAACAGAAAATTATATAAATTTTCTATAGACTTAGATATAGAATCATAACGTGTATAATCTCCTTTTGTTTGACATCTGTCATATTAATGACGTATTGAATGACGTATTGATGTATTGAATTGAATTTTGATTATCTATCACAACTGTCAACGTAACAAATACTAGCAAGTTTGTTTATTTGTATTTGTTTAATATATTTAAATATAAAATCATCATATATCAACCGTAATATACAACTAAATTATCAGTGACATAAATAATCATGGTTTACACCAGAAATAATTAATAGTATCCAGTAATGCTGCAGTTTTATATTCATATCAGTAGCCAAGCTTACTTTCAAATTCAAGAATGAACAGAAGATTAGAAGTTTAACATTCTTATTGCAATTGTACTTGCAATAATATATACATACAGTACTAATTATCAAGAACATTCCTCAAATACATGAGTGGTGAAGATTTCCCAATATGCTATCTATTTGATTCCTAACCTCTAATGTAAATTTATTAAAGAAGTGAATAATCAGTGTTAATGTTTGCTTTATTAATATTTAAAGTAATTGTCCTAACTTGATATTAATAGGATAATATCTCCTTGGATACAGTCCGACATAAACATATAACTCAATAATTAAATTTATAAAATACTAATATTATATTTTACTACTTGTATATCTCCATACTATTCCCATAAAATATTCAAAACATGTATATTAAATATAAATCCAGTAAATATTCACTAATATTAACCCTGTCTGAACTTGTCTAGTCAATATAACATGAACAAACAACATACATACAAACCCCATCGCCAGGACAACTTCCTTTCTAAATATGAGCAAAATACATAGCCTCACAAGTGTCATACAGTACCAATTCCATACTGAACCCCACACCTAGTCAAGAGCAACTATAGTCAGAGAATCTTTCAGTACTTTTATTACCATTAGGAAATAAATCCACACCTATAATATCAGCATAATTAAATATTATTAGTAATCAGTAATACACACAGAATTGTTATTATCAGCTTGCTTACTACAACAAAATCAATATTAAAGTTTATAATAAATCAAGACAAAATATCTATTTAAACAATACAGGCTTGTTTACCATAAATACCCCACAGTCACATGAATTTATCTAGTAACACAATTAATAATGTATTAAAAGTATTACATTCACATAATATCACTTGCAACAGTTAAGCTGTCTCTTTGTACATCTGGTGTAAAACAAATCCCCACATGTAGCCATGGATAATCAAATATAGACTAAGAATCATTAATCTGGTCGACCGAGTAATGGTATAAAACCACTTCACCATGAAGCGTTAAGTATGAACAGATATTCCAAACCAACACTGTAATAGTGTAATAAATACAAATATTTCATCATCATCATCGTCTCAACCATCACCAACCCACGACTGAACACAGGCAATTTCCACCGACTGACACAAGGAACGGCCCCACAATACACATAAAACAGTCACTCCAAACAATGGAGGTAGCCCACACCGCACTTGCATTCACAGGGTCGCCACTCAATAACCCTCTCTCTCTCATCAATGGCTGTTTCCCCAGCAATGAGACCAGACCATAGTCACTTTAGTCTATTATCCTCAATAAATAAATACTTTATAATAACTAGATATGAAACTAGTTAGTATTATAATAGTTTAATAGCTGATTTAATAAATATTTTCCAAAACTGGACAATTAGAACATTGAATCAAATTGATGAAGTTCTATCAAACGACCATATAATTGGATTTTGTATATGAGTAGAATAACGTAAGTACGTAAATTATATTGATGTAAACTTTGTTCAAATGTGATTGCATTTAACGATATACGCATTACCTAAAGGTATATAGACTCGACTAAATACGTATTTTAATAGTTGTTGGGAAAAATATTAAGTATAGACTTTGCCTGTGATCACAGTCAAAAATCTAACTACGTAGTAATAAATGGAACAAGCTCACCGGATTCTCCAGTCTTCTATTGATTAATTTCACACACTTAATCGATAGTGATACACTAAGATCTCAAACCCCTTCATCGAACCAGTCCCTCCTAGATCTATATCCTAGTTATTTTTTTATTTTATTGCGCAGTTCCTTAAAACACCACTCCTGCGCCATTTTTTCCTTTTTTTTTTTTTTTTTTTTTTTCGCAATTCCTAAAAAGCGACTCCCGCGCGCCCGCCGATCTGCCGGCTCCCCCTTTTTTTCTTTTCTTTCTATTCTTTCTCTAATAACGTCATAGATTATGTCACCGAAGGGTAGATATTTCAATAATCAGATTTAGCCTATTATTCGAACTGAACTTTTCTTTAAATTCAATTTAATTATATGTTAACGTATTTTGGTATTTTATATTAAATTGATTATCGAATTTATAAAACTTTAAAGGCTCTCATAAACCTTATTAAACTGTGTTGTATGCATCCTTTTTTACATCTGATGATAAAAGGTAAACTATAATTTAGTTATATATAAAATATAATATATTTTTGTTTAATTTATTAAATTTTCTTGTGACATCCACTACACTTTGGAAACACATCAAAGGAGTTTCCTTTCTGTGTCAATATTTCATATATGGTAACGTCTTCTCTGTACGCTATTGTGAACCTTGACTTTAAAGTTTGTTTATATTAAATAGCTCAGTTTTCGTAGCGGTCACCCATAGGAACCCCTGTTTCTTTTATGTACTTATGGTATTAAACCTATTGTACTATAGGCGAACCGTCACATGTCTCTCTGTGACAAAATTTTTAATCCATTTTGTCAAATATTTGCTAATAAAATTTGAAACATCTGTCTATAAATTCGATGAAAATATAGACAATTTTACTTTTTTTTAATGGGTGAAGATGGAATATTAGCCCCGCATGCACTATCGGTATACGCTGGCGGGGCATCAGTGAAGGCTGATAGGTGTGGATGAAGGCAGGTCAGTTGGCCCATAGTGACCAATTGAACAAGATTTAACCACTATGGTCGACCTGATAGGGTTTGTGATTTTGTGATTGCTAGCAATGGGGCAGTTAAATCTCATTACTAATAATTCCCTTCCCCCCCTATAATATTATACTATGAAGCTGTTTCCCTGCCGTGTTCTGTGGTCCGTGTTGTGTGGTGTGGTAATGGAGATTAAAAATCCCATAGCTAGCAATATACCCAACCAGGTCGACCTCTTCGCGATTCCCCCTGGAAACAATCATAGTTAATTCCTGATGAATTCATCATGATGGGCTAACTGGTCTGTTTTCATTCTCATCTGTCACCCTTCACTGGTGCTCCGCCAGCGTATCCCGTTAGCGCAGGCGGGGTTACCATACCATTTTCATCTACCAAAAAAAAAAAACTGTGGTTGCCAATACTTCTGCCAAACTACTGGCAAAACTTCCTTTATGGGATGGCTTATGTTCAGCAGTGGATAGTTAACGGCTGAAATGATGATGATGAAATGTAATTAATAAAAGATAATTGACGACACAGTATGTAATTTCTGTTCTATAAGAAAACAAACTTTAAGTTTTTTTTTTTATACAACTTAGAATGGCAAACAAGCTGACGGCCCACCTGATGGAAAGTGGTAACTGTCGCCTATAAACATGAGCAATACTATGGACATAACAGAGTATACTGTTTCGCCCATGATACCCCCCCATGCGTTGCCATTCCTGAGGACTCAGGTGTTATTCCTCTCTACCCAGTAAATACACGCCATATCCCACCCTTCAAACCGAAACACAGCCATGCAAACACAACTGCTTCACGGTTGAAACACGAACAGGACAGAGGTACCCAAGCAATCGACTTTTGTACAAAGTCTCCCTCTGGTTCTCTGGAAGAGATCACCTTTAGCGAAGGGACCGCCAATTGTTTTCTCATTGTGATCATTTCTTGTAATTGTTTGTATCTATAATAAGTTTAGTACTGTAATCTTTTGGAGGAAACAATAAAGAATATCTATATATGTGTTTTCAAGATGTGACAAAGATACGACAGTCCAGCTGGTGGCGTTCTTCAGTCTGACACTGTTCACAATCACAGGCTTTGCCACCAGTGCTGAGCGCGGCCATTTACCACTGCGGGCTTGGTAAGAAATTACAAATAAACACACCATAAGATAAAATTATATATATCACTTAACGTTTACCTGAAAAGGGGAACTGATGATCTGGTGTGGACAATATTGGAAGTGGATTAGATACATCGCTGGATGTTTCAGCTACTTCTACTGCAAGTTAGGCGACGGTTACCACTTTCCATCAGGTGGGCCGTCAGCTTGTTTACCATTCTAAGTTGTATAAAAAAAATGGCAGAAGCCATAATTAAGTGACTTTGAAAAAGCGATTCTAATTTTCCTGGGCCTTTCATGTTAAGAGCATTGGGTCTTTTAAGCTATGGCGTTGCCCTCCTCCCCCCTTGTTACGGCTATGCAATGATGATAATGTAAATGTTTCCACAGGTACCCATACGACACGAGCAAGTCACCAACATATGAGTTGACTTTCGTACACCAGGTGTACGCTTTGTTCGTGTCAGCGTTTCTAAACGTGGCGAAGGATACGATGGTGACCACCTTGATCGCTCAGTGCCACTGTCAGCTGAAACTGATCGGTTTGTCTTTGAGAACACTGGGCAAAGATTTGGAGGTTGATAAATCGGTGAGAGATTTGACTTTATACTATATGTATATACTAGAGGGAGACTTTGTACAAAAGTCGATTGCTTAGGTGCCTCTGTCCCATTCATGTTTCAACCATGAAGCAGTTGTGTTTGCATGGCTGTGTTTCGGTTTAAAGAGTGGGATATGGCGTGAATTTACAGGGTACAGAGAAATAACACCTGAGTCCTCAGGAATGGCAACGCATGGGGGGTATCATGGGCGAAACAGTATACTCTGTTATATCCATGGTACTGCTCATGTCTATAGGCGACGGTTACTACTTTCCATCAAGTGGGCCGTCAGCTTGTTTGCCATTCTAAGTTGTATAAAAAAAAATATTGAACCATAAAAATTTTTACAAATTACAAAAGTAGTGTACGATAACAGCCACATTAGTTGAAATAACTGTGTCGTGTCTTATTCATAATTATAAACACGGAGATCTTTATAAAACTATTATGAGGTCATTTATAGATCGTTAAGTTTGTTTTGAACCTAAGAGAACTACTCAAAAATTATTTTTTTGGGATTGTGCGGAAGTAGATTTCATTTCTAATAATCTCTCTCCCCTCAAGATTTTATGGCGTAATAATTATGGCATATCCAATACTAGATACAAAGTTTTTATTCATTCTTTATCATGTAGAACATTCAATATTTCACATAAATGCAGGTTGTGTATTATTAAAACCTTAATATTTCACCACAGCACCTCCTAAGTCCGAAACAAGGGGAACTGATACGAAGCCGTCTTCATAAATGTGCGATGCAGCATCAGAGAGCGCTGGACGTGGCACAGCAGCTCCAACTTTGCTTCTCTGAGCCGACTTTCGCCCAGTTCAATGTGTCACGCATCATCATTTGTGTTTCCGCGTTTCAACTAGTCTCGGTATGTACTCGTATTATATTCAGAACTAGCTTTGTACGTGTCTAATTTTGAAATCGGTAACTACTTCTAAAGGGGGAGGGGAGGAAGGGATTGTTAGTAATGTGGATTGCAAGTCCCATTGCTTGCAATATATCCTATCAGGTCTACCTCCGCGTGGACGTTCTTGGAAACTGTCGTCCTGTAATACAAGGTGTACTCATTACGATGGGCTATTGACCTGCCTTTTCATCCTCACTTATCATCCCTCACTGGTGCACTGCTAGCGTATACCGTCAGCGCAGGTGGGGCTACCGTTCCATTGCTATCCATTAAAATAATAAAAAGAAACAGCCCCATTGCTAGCAATATACTCTATCAGGTCGATTTATACGCGGTTCCCCACGGAAATTATCGTGATTCTTGTGGAATATGTCATTATGGGATAACTGACTTGCTTTCGTTCTCACCTATTATCTCTAACTGGCGTCCCGCCCGCGAAGCCCATAGCACAGGCGGGGTTACTATTCAATTTTCATTCAAAGTTTTACGCAATCAAGCAATAATCGCGGTCAGGCCTTTAGTGGTGTTTTAAGGGGGACGCTGCTGCATCCCTCGATCATTAAGTCCCCTTAGTCGCCTCTTACGACACCCACGGGAAAGGAAGGGGTGGCCCATTCTATGCCTGGACCTATGGTACACGACTACACACTACCTATAAATAATTTGTTTCTATTTGTTCCTTTCCATGTTTAATTTCAAGGCCGTATAAAATATTAATGTAATGTGACACAAAAAAGTATAAAAAAATGAAAACTAAGTAAAAACCAATGGTATGGTAAAAATGGTACCATATTGGTTTGCTTTTGTATGGTATGGTATATTTTTATGTGGTGTGAACACAGACGTGCTAATGCTTGTCGAAGTGTATATTATATTACGCCCAAGATGTCGTAAGAAGTGACTGGAAGGATAAAAAAAAAACTTATAACTATTATTTGTATAAAATATCTGTGGTATCTTCTATTCTATCTATTTTTCTTTTGGGCGAGAATTTTAAATAAATTATAAATGCTGAACATACATGATATATATATATATATATATATATATATATATATATATATATATATATATATATATATATATATATATATGAATAATACATTTTAATCATCGAATGAATTTTTCTACGTTTCTATTTGACTATATACGTTTTGACGAATAAAATAACTGTCATATGTGAAAGAATACACAGGATTCTTTACACGTCAGGTTAAAACAAAAAAAATTCAACGACAAATGTTATAATAGTTACATGAAATTTCTTAATTTTGATCAATTTGTATGTATGATTGTAATTATTACAAATTGTATGTTTATTACATTAATTTCAGGCAACCAATAATATGGTACGGCTCGTCTCAATGGGAACGTATTTGGTAAACATGTGCTTTCAAGTATTTCTCTACTGTTACAATGGAAACCAACTATCTGAGGAGGTTAGTCGAACAGTTTTTTATAATATTAAGTGGTAAAGATGCTGTATAATAAGTTTTTTTTTTTTTAATACAACTTAGAATGGCAAACAAGCTGACGGCCCACCTGATGGATAGTGGTAACCGTCGCCTATAGACATGAGCAGTACCGTGGACATAACAGAGTATACTGTTTCGCCCATGATATCACCCATGCGTTGCCATTCCTGAGGACTCAGGTGTTATTCCTCTGTACTCAGTAAATTAAAGAGGGACGCTGTTGCCCATCCCTCGCTCACCCTTTGTCGCCTCTTACGACACCCACGGGAAAGGAAGGGTTGGCCTATTCTATGCCAGGGTCACATGGGGAATAATAAGTATTTATTATTACTATGTCAACCGTTAATTGTCTTCACAATAAGGGAAGTTTTGCTAGTAGTTGTCATGCTTGACAGGCGGGTTGACAACCGCAGTTAGGCTTTATATTATGTTTAAAGAGGGACGCTGCTGTCCATCCCTCCAACATACAGCTCCCTTAGTCGCCTCTTACGACACCTACAGGAAAGAAAGGAGTGGTACATTCTATGCCGGGACCTACATGGCGGAATAATAAGTATAAAGACTAATAATGTATTAAATAAATAAATAATACATAATGTTACATGCTCGTTCTTCTCAGTTAAAATAGCATTTCAAACAAGATGCTATGTATGTAAAAATTACGTTTTCTCAAACATGCTTGGAAATGTGAGCATTATTTTGACAATCTTCTTCGAGATAAATCAAAATTGCCGTACTGGCCAGATACATGCGGGCAGCGGCCGGCAAAAGTTGTATGAAAATCCATATCTGTCGTATTTTGCGGCCAGATAAATTACTATGTATACTCATATCTGTCCTGTAATTTAAAAATGGAATGACCTTTTAGTTCGAAACATGGCTACCAAGGAGGTAACTAATAAAAGGTTTTATTTAAATTTCGAACTGATTTGCAAATAGAAAGCTGTTTATTGAAAAAAAAAATACTAAGGAACATTATGGCACGTGAAAAATTTAATCCTTTAAATATATAGTAGAGTTCATATAGGTACTATTCTTAATCTATGATTAACTTGAAGTTTGTATTTGAATATTATTATATTTAATCTAATACAAGCACAAAATATCGATATTGTTCTTAATCTATGAGTCATTCGCTATCTAATCGATCAATCTTTTAAAAATTTGACCGACGAGTCTGAATTTTGACAAGTACTTAGTATATATATAGATAGCTGTAAAGAAAGGGATTTTGAGACTTCCTGCGGAAATTGAGAAATATATATCAACATAGCGGCTAGATAATTTTATCAGATTTCCCAAGAAATAGGATAAGAAATAAAACTATAATTTTTTCTGGCATAATGCACATATACACCTATTTAAGATTTTGTTTTTATCAGTAATAATCGATTTATTTTCTCTTCACATCTCGTCACAGTAAAATTCACTTATTTATTTATTAGAAACCAACAGCGTAACAGTTAATATTTACATACTAATATTTAAAATATTAAGGTTAATAACAAGTTTTCTTATTATTCTAAAAGTACAGAATTGGCTTGAGCAAAAAAGGAAAAGTAGAATGCGGGTATGCGATCACAAGACACTCAAGTGCATATGTTTACCAATGTATGTACGTTACAATATATTCGTTACTGTTATAGATAGATAGATAGATACTCTTTATTGTTTCCTCCAAAAGATTACAATAGTAAATAAATATAAATAATTACAAAAACTAATCACAATGAGAAAACAATGGGCGACCTTATCGCTAAGAGCGATCTCTTCCAGGCAACCTTTGGATGGAGGGGAGTAATTATAAACAATTTGGTGGGTGGCACGATGAAAAATTTTGTTAGTTCTAAATATAGGAGATGTGATACATACATAAATTGACGGCCCACACACTATTTTTTTGTTATACAACTTAGAATGGCAAACAAGCTGACGGCCCACCTGATGGAAAGTGGTAACCGTCGCCTATAGACATGAGCAGTACCGTGGACATAACAGAGTATACTGTTTCATATATATATATATATATATATATATATATATATATATATATATATATATATATATTCCTCCGTACCCAGAGAGAGATTCACGCCATATCCCAGCCTTCAAACCGAAATACAGGCATGCAAACACAACTGATTCACGGTTGAAACACGAATGGGACAGAGGTACCCAAGCAATCGACTTTTGTACAAAGTCTTCTTCTGGTAAATATAACATATATACAATATATATATATATACAATAAGAAATAACTGTATACACTATTTTATCTCATTCATTTATTTGTAAATTTTATTTGTACATGCAGAGTTCAGATATCTCTGTGGCGGCATACTTCAGTCCTTGGCACACGATGTCGCCATCAATCAGACGTGAGCTGATCATCATCATGGTGCGCTCTAAGCGCATCGCTCGCATCACCGCCGGAGGGTTTACCACGCTTTCCCTTGCTTCATTTATGGCTGTAAGTCACGTCAGTTATCATAGCTAATATCTATTCTGTAGCCGTAAAGAGAAATTCCATTTTCAAATTTTGATATGCTTTTTTTTTCTTTTTCGAATTGACAACCTGTGCGTTTCATTACACAGATGTATTTTACTATATTATCCAAAGTTGAATCAAATCTTCTCTTATTATTATTTATATAATTTATTTGCATTGTCGCTATTGGCATTGTCACTTCCTTTTACACAAAATTCTCAATTTGAAAGAAATTAAAAAAAATATATATAATAGTTAAAATAGATTTATAGAAGAATTTAGTTTTTCTGAATAAGGGGGTTAGTATTTCTAAACTAATATTATAAAAAGAAAATATTTGATTTTTTGTGTTTGTAAGTAAAAAAAAATATTTAACTGATATTAAAAAAAAATCGCTCACTTGTAGATATTTATTTTACTATTAAAAAGTAATATAAGCAGTATTTTATATTAAATAAAATCATGACAAGCCGGGGAGGATCGGTAGTTTTTTAATAATATTACAAAATTTTATTTTTGTTCACAGATCATAAAGGCGTCTTATTCCTTATTCACATTATTGAAGCAAGTAAATGACGGCGATTAGAAAAATTATATCAATATTTATACTCTTTGCGTCGTAGTATAGTGCGGATGACAGCTGTCATTTTGACAGTTTTTACTGTAAAACATTATTGTATAATTTTTTTTAAGTTGAGCCCAATCTAATAATCTTAACTTATATCTTACCTTACAGGCAAATTTTTGTTTTGTTTTCCGATTTTATTAATAATGTTTGTTAACTGGAAAACAAAAATTAGAATAAAAATGACTTCAGAAGAAGTAATAATTATGTACTACTCACAGATAGAATGCGACTATATAGATAGACACTTCGCTAAAAACAGCCCGACTTATTCGTAAATGAGAGCATTCTCTCATCATTTATCTTACACCTCATTTAGATTTACATGTACGCACGTAATAGGCACATAATTTTTTTTATACAACTTAGAATGGCAAACAAACTGACGGCCCACCTGATGGAAAGTAATAACCGTCGCCTATAGACATGAGCAGTACCATGGACATAACAGAGTATACTGTTTCGCCCATGATACCCCCCAAGCCATTCCTGAGGCGACAGTTACCACTTTCCATCAGGTGGGCCGTCAGCTTATTTTCCATTCTAAGTTTGCATAAAAAAAATATTAACAAACCTATAACAATTTTATGTAATCCCATAGATTACGTCGTATTAAAATTATTTAGAATACAAGCTTTTACCCGCGTTTTTGTCCATGTAGAATTGATTGTAGAGTTCATCTTATAAATATATTTAATCAATAGTTAAAATATAATAATTATTTTACAATAAAACAAATAGATTTTTGAATCAATCAGTTCAAAACACTTTCTCTCTCGTCGCTGGCCCGTGCGCGGGATGCACGCGCAGCCCACAATCACAAAGAGCCTGCGCGACCTGCGCGCGCATCTGGCGAATGAGTCCCGTGACCAAGCGTCATGATATGAATAAATGAATGAATGAATGATTGAATGAAAGAATGAATGAATGATTGAATGAACGAATAAATTAATGATTGAATGAAAGAAGAATGAATGATTGAATGAAAGAATGAATGAATGATTGAATGAAAGAATGAATGAATGAATGAATGAATGAATAAATGAATGAATATGTAAAAGTTGATATATATAATAAACATTGATGAGTCATCATCTCACCACATCCACATGACTGAGATATATATACTGACCGGAATAAAGAGTAACCTACATATATGCTTCTCCATTTAATATAGTACGTGTATACTATATTTTATTGTCATTAGTTAAACTGTCAAAGCGCTATAGGTTAACAAACAAACAAACTTATTTTGATATCTATCTATCCTTATAATAAATCTATAGAGAGGTCAATTCTGTACATGAAATATATTTCCAAAATAACTATCAGGCGGTGATTAGTGATCGATACTGATGCCAAAAATGCAACCAGTAAAATTTTTGTCTGTCTGTCTGTCTGTATGTTCGTTATAGAAACAAAAACTACTCGACGGATTTTAACAATTATTCTTCATACTCCTGGGCAGATTATAGTATACTTTTCATCACGCTACGATCAATAGGAGCAGAGCAGTAAAGGGAAATGTTAAAAATGTCCACCCGTGCGACGCCCGGACGGGCTGCTAGATTATATTTGTAAGAATTTCAGTTATTATTTATAAAACCGAAATTGAATATATTTATAAAAAAAAAATCCTTATAATCAAAGAAACCAAAAAGAGACAATTACTCGCTTATCATTTCTTGAGACGTTTTTGATATTCGTCACTCCATCTAGATGTAATATGATCTATGTCAACATTGAATCGACATTATTTATAGTGCGGGAATATATCTTTTGTTATAATTGCATGTTACAGTTGCCATAGGTGACAATTTGATTAATAACTTAATTACTTAATTGGAACGGTGACAGTTTATAAGTAAATAGCAATCATGTAACATCGGTACAGTTCGCCAATCGGAAACATTTTTAAAATACTTCAAAATCTTAGAGACTTTCAAATACACAATATTTTCTGTGTATATTTATGTAACATACATAGAAAAAATAATAAAAAATATATAATTAAAAATGTGTTTTTGATGATTTATTTTGACAACAAAATTTACATTTTATTTACAAAAGGGTTAAATTTTTATGCAATCCCATGTTAATTAATCATCACATTTTTTTTTGAAGGGTAAAAATTTGAACGGTAAAACCACCCGCGCTAATGGGATACGCTGGCGGAGCACCAGTGAAGGGTGATAGGTGAGGATGAAGTAGGTCAGTTAGCCCATCGTGACGAATTCAACAAGAATTGTTCACGATGGTTTCCAGGGGGTACCACGTGGAGGTCGACTTAACAAGACATATTGCTAGCAATGGGGCTGTCAATCTCCATTGCTAACAATCCCTTTCCCCCATTTACCATCACATATTACCCACCATTTGACAACCCGACAAATACTAAATATATAAAATCTGGATGCATGTCTTATGCGTTTTTACTTTCTTATTTTAACCACTTTTTATCATCTTCCAGCATTATATTTCCGAACCGATATGACATTTTCAAGAAAAGATCTGTATATTTAAAAGGCCGGCAGAATATCTCAACTTTGGTGTTGTGGGTGATCATGAGAAATGTCACGACCATCAGGTGAGCCGCATGCTCGTCTGCCCCCTGTCTTTTTTGAAAAAAAAAAACTTTATTGTATTATTTTGTGAAATTAAATTATAAATTATTTTGTTATGTATCAATGAAAAATTAGTTGCAGAGACATTATTTATTTAAGTTAAAAACTATGTAATTTGAAATAAATTTATACTTAATATATAAAACTATTCATATTTATACGTTTTTATTTTATTTTAATGGCTTTGTATATTTTTATGATACATTTTTTTTATATCTGTCAACGACAACGACCCACCTGATGGAAAGTGGTAACCGTCGCCTATAGACATGAGCAGTACCATGGACACAGAGTATACTGTTTCGCCTATGTATCACCATCAATCTTCAGGACTACGATGTTATGTCTTTGTACCCTGTAATTTTGCCTCTTTAATTATGCATTTCAAACCAAAAACCGCAGCCATGCAAGCACAATTATACGGTAAAAATATGGATGAGACAGAGATTCCTATATATCATACAAAGTATTTAGTAAAAATTTCTAATTTATTGATTATCTCTGTGTTTCAGCCGTTAACTCTCCATTTCAAGCGTGGGATATGGCAGTGAAATTATGCTCATACGGTACCTACTATATGTCAGAGGGAGGGAGGGGGACTTTGTACAAAAGTCGATTGCTTGGGTACCTCTGTCTCATTCGTGTTTCAAGTGAAGAGCTGTGTTTGCATGGCTGTGTTTCGCCCTTTAGTCGTCTCTTGAATTTATTGGGTACAGAGGAATAACACCTGAGTCCTCAGGAATGGCAACATATATAGAAACAGTTAAAAAAAATGTAATATGGTACTTTATAAATTAAAATGTTACTTTTTATATTTCCATCAGGTGGGCTGTTTTAAGCCCTTTGCTATTCAAAAATGTATCAAAAAAAAGTATATCAGCCTTTTTTGTTCATGCTGAATATTCGGCTAGACAATTTGTTGACTAACGTGAAACCGCGTTTAGGCTTCAGAGATGTTTTAAGAGGGATGCTGCCACCCATCCTTCGCCCTCCCTTAGTCGTCTCTTACGACACCCACGGGAAAGAAAGGGGTGGCCTATTCTGCCGGGACCTATATATAGAAATCGTTAAAAAAAAATGAATATAGGTTTTATAAATTAAAATGTTACTTTTTATATTTCGTTCACATGTTTTTAAGCCCTGCATTGTCAAAAATGGATCAAATAAAAGGCACAATTTTTTTGTTCATCATAATATTCGGCTAGTCAATTTGTGAGTAACGTAAAAACACAAGAGCATGGAAATCATTGTGCAAAACACCAATTTGCCACTCAGCATGGCTCTGTCTATTATGAAATTGTTGGGGTACTGGGCTCCGCGCCACTTCCGAGGCACAAAAAAGTTCATTATAAATTTTTATATATTTTTCTCGTTTAATTTTTTGGTTGGTAAGTGTTTTTTTGGTATTTTTTTTAATGGATGATAATGGAATAGTAACTCCGCCTGTACTATCGGTATACACTGGCGGGGCACCAGTGAGGGATGATAGGCAAGGATAACAGTAAATCAATCACGATGATTTCCAAGGGAGAATCACGAGGAGGTCGACCTGACAGACTATATTGGTAGAAATGGGCTACTAATCTTCATTACTAACAATTCCTTCTCCCGCCTATATTTTGGTATTAAAAACACAATTTAAATATTGATTTACTATTTTAATTTTTTTTACACAACTGTGCTAAAACTGCCATTCTCTAAACAAGCTTACGACGTGATGGAAAGTGACAACTTTCCCATGGGTGTTAGCGACTAAGGGAACTTAATGGTCGGAGCAGCAGCTTTTAAAATACCACCAAGGCCTAACTGCGATTGCCAACCCTCCTGCCAAGCGTGGCAACTACTGGCAACTCACCACCCCTTGCTTCCAATAGGAGGGGTCTATGTTTAGCAGTGAACATATGTATGAAGTATGAACAGCTTATATGGTTTTGTTTTTATTAACATCAAAGGATGTTATACGAAAAATTGTTATACGAATAAGGACTCGTACAATTCTTCATAATTTTTTTTTTATACAACTTAGAATGGCAAACAAGCTGACGGCCCACCTGATGAAAAGTGATAACCGTCGCCTATAGACATGAGCAGTACCAAAGACATAACAGTACACACACATACTGTTTCGCCCATGATACCCCCCATGCGTTGCCGTTCCTGAAGACTCAGGTGTTATTCCTCTGTACTCAGTAAATTCACGCCATATCCCACCCTTCAAACCGAAACACAGCCATGCAAACACAATTGCTTCACGGTTGAATACGAGAGGTACCCAAGCAATCGACTTTTGTACAAAGTCTCCCTCTGGTAAATATATTTTAAATATATATAGACATCATTTATTTTAGAAAAAAATATAGTTTTAAATTTGCAACGAAATGTCATTTTTGTTTTATTTTTCTATCAGGAATTTATGTCATCACTCAAACCATAGAACTGTTCCAAGTATGGGGAGACATATCCCTGATGACCAGTGCTGCTTTTCTGCTTTTCACCAACATAGTTTTAGGGTTGAAGCTTCTTAACGTATTAATAAGGCGTGAGACGGTCGAGGCAATGATCGACGAATCTGACGCAGTTTTAAGAGCTGAAGACAGGGATGAAGGGAAATACATTCTTAACAGGTGAAGTTAGAAATTAAATCTTGCAAATATAATTAAAAAGAATTGTCTAAATTTCCGTGTGGTCCCGGCATAGAATAGGCCACCCCTTTTTTCTCGTGGATGTCGTAAGAGGCGACTAAAGTATGGCGAAGGATGGACAGCAGCGTCTCTCTTAAAATATCTCTAAAAACCTAACTGCGGTTGTCAACCCGCCTGCCAAGAGTGCCAACTAATAGCAAAACTCCCCTTATGGGATAGGCTTTTCCAACAGTGGACCGTTAGCGGCTGAAATAATAATAATAAATAAATAAAAACAAAATATTAATAAATAAAAGTTGAGCTTCTATTATTGTAATGAATTCATAAGGTGAGCATGGACTCTTCTTCTGAACATGAATCTATTTGGATGTTCTTAGATACCTTCAAGCAGTGCACTCCAAAGTCGTGAAGCTTGGATGGTCTTCAGCATAGCTTCATAATTCAAAATTGATGTCATACTTCTTCAAGTATGACATAAATTTTGCGTTTAAATCTGATTCATTTTTTCTATGCAACTTAGAATGGCAAACAAGCTGACAACCCACCTGATGGAAAGTAGTAACCGTCGCCTATAGACATGAACAGTACCGTGAACATAACAGAGTACAGTGTTTCATCCATACGTTGCCAATCTTAAAACTCAGGTGTTATTCCTCTGTGCTCTGTAAATTCACTGCCATATCCCACCCATCAACCCGAAACAAAGCCATGCAAATACAACTGCTTCACGGTAGAAACACGAATGGGACAAAGATAGCCAAGTAAAGGACTTTTGTACAAAGTGTCTCTTTGGTAAGTCAATGTTAATAAAATGTTGTGTCCTCAGTATTAACCGGGAGACGACAATGTTGCTGTTCTCCTTTGTGTTCTTGTCTGCTGTGACGGTAATAGGATGGGGCATAAGTGCTGAGAAACGTCAGTTACCCTTGCAGGCCTGGTTAGTATTGGACATCAATTATAAGTAACAGTTATACTGAATTTGGTGTTATTTTACGAAAGTCTATGTCAGCGGTTAAATTGGAAAGAGACGACTAAGGGAATTTAATGATCGAGAAATGGACAGCAGCGTTTCTCATAAAACATCATCAAAGCTTAACAACGGTTGCCAATTCGCCTGCCAATTGTGGTAACTACTGCCAAAGCTATCTTTATGGGGAAGGCCTATGTTCAGCAGTGGACAGTTGACGGCTGATATAATAACATATCTTAGATTATGTAGATAGAGTGTCTCCATACAGATGCTTCAAGAAAAGCGGGTCAAATTTTTCATACAATTTTGCGTGATAAATAGTTATATAAGTGATTCCTTTATAACTTCTATATTTATTTTGTCTTATAAATTCTGCACCTTTTTAATGCGCAACACATCACTTTATTTAATAAATAATTAAATATAGATATGTTAAGATACATTTTGTGCGTAAGTATATAGAGCATTATTAAAAAAAAAAAAACGAGTCAGTTAATTTGATAACCAGCTGACAAAAAATTTACCCGTTTTTGAGGCTCGAGGCTCTATTTAAAAACGGGTAAATTATATCTATAATGTAAGAAATATATATATATATATATATATATATATATATATATATATATATATATATATATATATATATATATATATATATATATATATATATATATATTAATGCGTGGAGGATGAAAATTTACTTGAATCTTCAGTTTAATGACACAATATCTGTGATGTGGGTAGAAGAACAAAATTCGCTTTGGAAGCGAAGACGTGCCAGTGCTACTTCAGTCTACTTATGACCACGGCCGGAGTAACATGCTCGAAACGTCGAGATCATTTTTTTAAAAGGTTTTTACCTTCTTCAAGTATATCAGCCCTATCGTACCCTGAACTGATTTCTCAAATGAAGCTTCATCTACATTCCCTAGACACGAAAAGAGAGAAATTAATAGGCATCAATAATTTACAAAGATGTTACAAAAAATTTCTGGTTTAGCTTCAGCTAATATAGATTGAATAAGGCCAACATTAAATTTATTAATATTAAATTTACAATTAAAGTGGCGCATGAATTCTTCTCTTTCCTTCGAGTTTATACGACACTCTAATAGTATATGTTCCACATCATCGATGGTATCATAAGTTTGACAATGGGCTGACCAGGACTTTCCCATCATGTGTGCAAATTTTTTTGATGGATATAATCGATATAATTTAAATTATTCCAATTTACCTGAACCTGAATGATCGTGTTTTTTTCTCTTCAATTATTTAATAAGTAGCTACTTTATTTTCTATATTTGTTATTATATATTCATTTATAATCATCCTGTATTATAAATATTTTTAGGTATCCGTATGATAAGTACAAATCACCGGCTTTCGAGTTAACATACGCTTACCAGGTAGGGTTCTATTTGTGTGAATGACATATTTTTATGATACTTATATTGGTAAAATATAGGTTTTTTTTTAAAAGCGAGACACCAGTGAGAAATGATAGGTGACGATGAAAGCAGGCCAGTTAACCCGTCATGATGTTTTCCATCAAAATAGAATCTAATAGAATAAACCACGATGGTTTCCAAGGGGAACCGCGTGGAGGTCGAAGGTAATAGGGAAATTAGACCCTAATACTAACAATCCTTTTCCCCTCAGAAATATAGTGTTAGGTCGACCTTCACGTGGACCTCGTGGAAACCATCGTGCTGAATTCTAGATATATTATCACGATGAGCTAACTGACCTGCCTTTTCATTCTCACCTATCATCCCTCACTTGTGTCTCGCTAATGTATACCGATAGCGCAGGCGGGGTTTTTTTTTTTTGATGGATGAAAATGGTATGGTAACTCCGTCTGCGCTAACGGGATACGCTGGCGGAGCACCAGTGAAGGGTGATCGATGAGAATGAAAACAGGCCGGTTAGCCCATCATGATGAATTCATCAGGAATTAACCATGATAGTTTCCAGGAAAAACCGCGAGGAGGTCGACTTGGTTGGGTATATTGCTAGCAATAGGATTCTCAGTCTCCATTACTAACAATCCCTTTCCCCCCGCAGGCGGGGTTACCAGCCCATTACGATCCATTAAAAAAAAAACTGATTTTCACTGTGCATTAAAGTTTAAATAAATAATTAAATTTTTTCGTACATTATATTAATAAATATTATCTGTTTCTGGTTTTAATAATAGTCCATTTGTAGGTAGTTGCTGTGAACCTGTCAGCCGCTGTGAATGTGAGTATGGATACGTTGGTGACCTCTTGTATAGCCCAGTGCCGCTGCAGGTTGAAGATTCTAGGGCTATCCTTGAAGACGTTGTGCCAGAACGCAATCCATACTGGACAGGTGGGTGTATATTCCCTACTCAAAAACCAAAGTTTTTGAGTAGGGAATATAATCTGGCAACTTTTCATTCTATTGTTCTCAATAAATACAAAGATCATCGGTGATAGTAAATCACGAAACAACTAAATCTAAAATAGCTTTAATAATATTATTTTTATTAAGTCAACGAATCTTTTATGAGGAAGTTTTGAAAACAGTTCGTCATCATCATTATATTATATTATTACCTTTGATCTTTATCAATGTTTTATTGGTATTATAGTATATTATCGCGAACACAAGCACGTGCGCTAGTTTATGTGTATATGTATGTGCGTGCGTGCGTGCATGCTTGCGTGCGTGCGGTGGGCGGGCGAGCGGGCGGGCTGGCGTGCGTGCGTGCGTGCGGGCGGGCGTGCGAGCGGGCGGGTTGGCGGGCATGCGTGCGTGCGTGCGTGTGTGTGTATATATAATATTTGTTTAATGTACTACGAATTATCATCGCAGTGTATTCTGTGATTTCCATGGTGCTGTTCATGTCTATAGACGACGGTTATCACTATCTATCAGGTGAGCTGTCAGTTCACTAGAACTGTTCCATAAATAAAATTTTTTTTGACACCAGTGGGTACTAACACCGGACCAAGAGAAGATAGTTGCTAGCCGTCTCCGTCGTTGCATCACTGAGCACCAAGCTATACTCTCTACAGTGGTGAAGATACAAGAAACATTTTCGGAACCACTGTTCGCTCAGTTCACAGTATCTATCTTCATCATATGCGTCACCGCTTACCAATTAGTATTTGTGAGTACAATCATTTATTTAATCAGGAATAGTTTTTTTTTTTTTCTAGCGGCAATTGCCACCTTATCTATCAACCGCATCCAGCGGGCTATGGAGAGTGCTATGCTCGAAGTCTCTTTGCGTCATAGAATCTGAAATGAGGATATCCGCAAAAGAACCAAAACAACCGACATAGCCTGAATAAGCAAGCTGAAGTGGCAATAGGCTGGTCACATAGCTAGAAGAACCTACAATCGATGGAGAAGAAAGATTCTTGAGTGGTAACTGCGTACGGGTAAACGCAGTGTAGGATAAACCCCCAGTAAGTTAATGGATGCAGATGGCTCAGGACTGTTCTTTGTGGCAGTCGATGGGGAGGCTTATGGCCAGTAGTGGACGGATAATGGCTGAAATAATGATCATGCATCCTCACTATCTAAATTATGTCTACAGAATATTGTCTAACCCTTTCTTGACAGTGGTTAATTATAGAAGGTCATATTAGAGGAATAGAAGTGTCTATCCATCTAATATGGTCTTGGTCAATCGTCCATCTTGTTTTCTGTGTCCTGTCCATTTCTACTTCAGCTTCGTTATTCAATGTAGGTATGGCGATTGGAGATCGATAAATCGAAGAATCGAATTATGCGACTTAAAAATTCGATTATTAAGAATCGATCTTTAAGACTTTTTTCGATTCGATTCGATTTGAAGGTTGATTTTTTTGGAAAAGAATCGTCATCTCTAATTCAATCAGTAGCGTCAATTGCGGCTGTATCTCGAATTTCGATAATAAGTATGTGAGTACATACTTATTGCATAACTAATGCAAATAAATTAGTATTAAATCTCTCTCTGGTACTCAAATTCTTATGATTTCTACAGGAGACCAAAAGTACTTTGCGCCTTATTGCAATGTTGGCGTACCTTTTGGTGATGATGCTCCAAGTTTTCTTGTTCTGTTATCAAGGAAATGAACTTTCTGAAGAGGTAATAAAGTTGTATATTTATTCTACTTCATACTTTACATATTTGAAGAAAATAATGGTAATAAATAAAGAAAAACCGACTTTAATCGTGACAAAGCCACATATTTTAATCTAAAAGCAAAACTGCAAAACTTGATAATTTTTCTATGGGACCAATCTGTAAGAATATGCTTTTACATATAAAAGTGTTTTCCAAATTGGTTTAGAACTGACGAAGTTATAAGGTAACAACCATAAAAAAATACAACCGAACTGAGAATTGTTAATGAAACCGGTTGAAAAAGCGGACAGCTGACTAGCTAACACGGCGAACGTTGCTTTACATCCTAGCGCCACCTACTGGGTCCTTTATTTTCTTATGACGAGATAAACAATATTCTTTCTCTCGATTTTGAGCAAATAACATACATTGAAAATTTGATTAAAATCGGTTGAGCGATTTTGGAGATTTCTTTCTGGTTTGCGGTACAGTATTTAAGGCATGCTGTCCTCGCTATTGGATACGGGTGACGGAATCCCTATACAAAAGGGTACATGGTGTATTTACTAGTACTCGTAATTTAGGTGCAGATTTTAAAAATTAGTCGAACAAACATCATGATACGGAATTTTTATAACGTTTCAGAGTACTAACGTGGCGAATGCAGTCTATACTTGCCCGTGGTATGCATGCTCAGCGAAACTGAGACGTCTTCTGCTCCTACCCATGACGCGTTCAGTCCGAGTGGCTCGGATCACTGCAGGAGGCATCACTACACTGTCACTCGCGGCGTTCATGGCTGTGAGTCTTCAATCAGTAACAGCAATGGACAGTTAACGGCTAATATGATGACGATACTTTGTCATCTCCATTGGTGGAAGATCATGTTCTAAGAGTCCTAGTCCAAAAAAATAAGATGCATGTACACTTTCATGGCTGTGTTTCGGTTTAAAGGGTGGAATATGACGTGAATTTACTGGGTACAGAAGAATAACATCTGAGTCCTCAGAAATGGCAACGCATGGGGGTATAATGGGCGAAACAGTATACTCTGTTATGTCCATGGTACTGCTCATGTCTATAGGCGACGGTTACCACTTTCCATCAGGTGGGCCGTCAGCTTGTTTGACATTCTAAGTTGTATAAAAAAAAAAACTCTGATATGTTTTAAAATGTAGTTGAAAGCTCCGCTCTCATGACATGGGCATCAGATTATTTTGGAGTGAGTACGCCCTCACCCCTTCCCGCCCCGTTATGCTTATGGTATAGCCATGCTTAGTTACACAAGCACATACGCTCAGTAGCAGAAACGTTGGAATAGATACGCATATACAGAATTTTTTGTAACAAAGATTTTTATTGGATGATAATGGAATGGTAACCCCGCTTGCGCTATCGGTAAACACTGGCGGGGCACCAGTGAGGAATGACACGTGAAGATGAAGCAGGTCAGTTAGCCCATCGTGACATATTCACCAATGGATCAATCACGATGATTTCCAGGGGGAACTGCGAGGAGGTTGCTAATCCCCATTACTAATAATCCTTCCACCCCCCCCCCCCCCCTTCCGTAACAAAGATTAAGTACTTCTAGTGAAATGGAATGCTCATGTACAATACTTGCTGTTTTACTTATCATATTGCTTGTTCAGCTAATGCTAATAATTTGCCGAAATATGTTTGCCATCTAATTAACTTTGGGGCGTTATTTGAATAGATTTAAAAGGTGTTTGTAAATCTAGTTATTACTGATTGACGGTGTAAGTAGATTATTATGTCACCGGTAATGTATCTATGTACTTTTTTAATCTAATCTATTCTTTAACAAGGCGTAACGGAAATTGCAATCAAAAGCCTAGTATTTTGAGAATTGAACAATTTTTACCAAGGTCGAAATATATATTTTGGGGGGAAAGATATTGTTAGTAATGGAGACTGAGAATCCCATTGCTAGCAATATACCCAACCAGGTCGACCTCCTTGCGGTTCTTCCTGGAAACTATCATGGTTAGTTCCTGATGAATTTGTCATGATGGGCTAACTGGCCTGTTTTCAGCCTGTTTTCATACTCATCGATCACCCTTCACTGGTGCTCCGCCAGCGTATCCCGTTAGCGCAGGCGGGGTTACCATACCATTTTCACCCATCAAAAAAAAATATTTTTATTTAATATTTAATCTTATATGATATATATATATATATATATATATATATATATATATATATATATATATATATATATATATATATATATATATATATATATATATATATATATATATATATATATATATATACATATATATCTCATATATTCACTGTATTGCAACATCAATGCATCGATAGAACTTAAATAAATATTAAAATGGAGAGCAACAGGAGTTTCTATACAATTAGAAATTGGTTAAGGAAGTACAAAATTATAATTATGTTAGAATGTTTATCACACGAAAAAGAATTGTTTTATTTATTCCTCTTTTATACAATTGAGTATCTATAGTAAATCGGCTGACGGCGGTATGTGATATTTTTCCAATATACAGCACCCTACCCTACCCTGTCAGGTCGACCTCCACGTGGTCCCACCTGGAAACCATAGTGCTGAATTCCAGGTGTATTCATCAGAATGGGCTAACTGACCTGCGTTTTCATTCTCACCTATTACCTTTTACTAGTGCCCCGCTATAGTACACCGTTAGCGCAAACGGGATTACCATTCTATTATCATCCATTAAAAAAAACATGTGACCACAGAGTGGGACAGATTATATACTCAAACTGTTCGACCTCAATACTGATTCCTCTAGAAACCATCATGGTTAATTCCTGCTGAATTCGTCATCAAAAGCCAAGTATTTTGAGAATTGAACAGTTTTTACCATGGTCGAAATATATACTTTGGGGGGAAAGGGATCGTTAGTAATGGAAACTGAGAATCCCATTGTTAGCAATATACCCAACCAGATCGACCTCCTCGCGGTTCTCCCTGGAAACTATCATGGTTAATTCCTGATGAAATTATCATGATGGGCTAACTGGCCTGTTTTCATTTTCATCTACAATCCCTCACTGGTGCCCCGCCAGCGTATTCCATTAACCCAGACGAAGATGCCATTCCATTTTCACTATAAAAGAGACATGTAACAAAACCATCCTGAGTTAACACAGGGACAATGGGGGGAGAAGGGGCCGTTAGTAATGGGAATTAGCAATCCCATTGTTAGCGATATACCCAGACAGGTTGACCTCCACTCAGTTCCCCCTGGAAACCATCGTGATTAATTATTGTTTATTCCATCACGATGGGCTTACTGGCCTGCTTTCATCCTCACCTATTATCCTTCACTGGTGCCCCGCCAATGTATACCGATAGCACAGACGGGGCTGTCATTCCATTATCATCGATTAAAAACACAGGGACAATATGTTCCATGAACGCGAGCAATCGAAGTGAAAATGTTCTCTCCGCGATTGGCCGCACTATGCCAACTAAGTGCTTTACACGTTACATTTGAAGGTAAAATACTTAGATAATAGAGAAACGACACTAAATCTATTATTTCAGCCTGTACATACTTAATATTTAATAAATTAAATAAACACATGTTTACATAAGTAATAGGAACAAATACAAAGAAGCGCAAGATACTCTCAAAAACTAATCACTAGTACAATTCCTAGAGGGAAAAGGATTGTTAGCAATGGAGTTTGACAGCTGCATTGCTAGCAATATACCTTATTAGGTCGACCTCCACGTGGTTCCCCCTGGAAACCATCGTGAACTATTCTTGTTGAATTCGTCACGATGGACTAACTGACCTACTTCATCCTCACCTGTCATCCTTCACTAGTGCCCCGCTGGTGTATACCGATTACCATTCCATTATCATAAATTTAAATAAAAAAGTACAATTACTAAAAACAAGCCATTTACTAGAAAAAAAATCCTATAAAAAATAGACACCAATCGTAAAAAAACTTTAATAATATTTCTATGGATATAAGGGAACTTTCATTAAACAAAATTTAAATTGGATTACGTAAATGGTCAATAAACAAAAGCTTTTAGCCGGTAGACGAATTTTTCAAAAAAGAATAGATAAATATCTAGTAAATGTTGTCGATGCATAAGTTAATCAGTTCCTATCAAAATGTGACATTTGCATTTTTTTTATACACCTTAGAATGGCAAACAAGCTGACGGTCCACCTAATGGAAAGTGGTAACCGTCGCCTATAGACATGAGCAGTACCATGGACATAACAGAGTATACTGTTTCGCCCATGATACCCCCCATGCGTGCCACTCCTGAGGACTCAGGTGTTATTCCTCTGTACCCTGTAAATTCACGCCATACCCCACCCTTGAAACCGAAACACAGCCATGCAAACACAACTGCTTCACGGTTGAAACACGAACGGGACAGAGGTACCCAAGCAATCGACTTTTGTACAAAGCTTGCTATTCTGTAAATAGGCTGGAAACTTCATGTCATATAAGATCACCGATACCTATCCTATTTAATGCAAATAAATTTATAAATTTTTTATTTACCATTGAATTACACTTGACTAATTGTTTAACACGCTACGAAGGTGTGAACAGTACGTCACAATCGAAGATATAATAGGTATATTATATAATATAATATATGTATGATAACGATATTCTATTTAGAATTATATTCTTGGTATTTTGCGATGTTTGAGTCATTTTCTATCACTACTATTGGTGATTGATGTATCTATTCTTCATACGTAGTTGCTTTATAAACGTGTGATATATTGACAAGAACGAATTAATCTAATTTTTTTATTTTTATTTTTTTTATTAAGCTCTGTAACATAGTGGCATACTATGTTTTTTTTAATGGATGATAATAGAATGGTAGCCCCATCTGTGCTAATTGTATATGCTGGCGTGGCACCAGTGAGAGATGATAGCAATCAGGTCGACTTGCACGCGGTTCCTTCTGGAAACCATCGTGGTTAATTCTTCAGATATGCTAACTGATCCACTTTTATTCTCAGCTATCATCACTCATTGGTGACAACCCCAGCATATACCAATGGGACAGACAATATCATATATATATATATGAATAATAATATAATGTGAATTCAGTGGGGGGAAAGAGATTTTTAGGAATGGAGACTGAGAATCCCATTGCTAGCAATATAATAATAATAATAATAATAATAGTGCTTCTGCCGGGGGTTAGTTGCCATCTCCTCTCCTTAAGAGGGGAGATGAGAATTTTAGTGAAATTTAAAAAATAATAATAAACTCTTTATTGCGCACAGTAAAGATGTATACAAGGAGTATTTATACAGAACGTGCATATACAAAAGGCGGCCTTATCGCTACAAGCAATCTCTTACAGACAACCTGGCATAAAGAATGGATAAGTACAGAGAGAAAGGTAGATGGCGCAAATCGGACACAGTAAATGCATAAAAGGAATCAGACAAAATGCAAAAAATTCTAAATATAAAAATAAGATTACATAACCTAAATAAACATACATATATAATAAAAATAATAATACATAAACATACATATATAATATAAATAATAATACATAAACATACATATATATAATATAAATAATAATACATAAACATAAATATACTAAATAGATCAAGATAAATCTTACACATAGTAAACGTCAAAGCAAATTAGAGAGATAGGAAATGAGATTTTACCTGCCTCTTGAACGAGGCAAGAGATTGCGCTGATCTAATAGAAAGAGGTAAGGAGTTCCAGAGACGGATAGCTTTTATAGTGAAAGAATAGGAATAGAATTTAGAAGAATGAATAGGAGTTACTAAACGAAAGGATCTCGCGCTGCG